CCAGGCCCCGGCAGACCCCCCAGGAGTGGAGAGGTTCATGGCGGGGAAGACGTCATCTAGAAGGGCTGGCGAGCCCCACCAGAAAATCGGAACCTTCCCCGGGGCTCTGGAGCAAGGCCACCCCATCTACAGAGGATGACACACACTCGGGCTGAGCCTCGAGAAGGCTGCTGGGCCCTGCTGGAGGGTGTCGTGGGGCTCACGCAGCTGGGGTAGGGCTCCACCAAGTTGTGAGCAGGGAGGCCACCGCACCCCACCACAGATCCTGCCTCAGGCACACTCACTGGGCACTGGATAGCGGCGGTGGCAGGTGACCCAATTCCCACACCCAATTCGGCCCACATTCCTGTTGGCTCACACCTGTGGCTGCAAGGAGGTGCCCTACGACAGAGCGAGAGCAGAGGGAATGGCTGAATTTGAGCGAACATTCATCAGCCTGGCCATGAGGGTATGCGCCGAAAATGGGATCTGCCTCGTTAAAGCCCCACTCTGGGTGGCCTCCAAAACTCACAGTGAGCAAATCCTGCCACAGGGTTGCCAGCCTTGCACATAGCATGCTCGTCCAATTATACGGAAAGCCATGTGGCCCAAGACAAGGCTGCACTGAGCCAGGAGCTGGTCTGGAGCCCGGATGGAGAAGGCAAGTGCCTGGGCTAGGGAGGCCTGGAGAGACACATGCACAGGACACAGGGAGCAGATGCGGATGTGAAGATCTTCGGATCGCTCGTTACTGCCCACCGGGAAGCAGCCACCGTGCGGGAGGCGCTGAGCACCAAGTGACAGAGTGGCTTTGCCAGCTGACACAAGTGAGCCAGCGGCCTCAGTCACCCCAGCAGCAGGTGCTGCTTCTTCTCCACTGCAGAAGTCCAGCTGCGGCCCCAGCACTGAGCCAGGCAGACGTCCCAGCCCATGACCTGCCCACGACCCACGGTTGAAGGACAACAAGACAGCTCCGTCTGACCTTCCCCCCTGAAAACGAAGTGACTGATCCCATTCTGGATGTGAGAATGCCATTCCTGACCACAGGGCAGCAGCCAGGCCCCCACCGAAGGCTCCCAGAGCCTGAGTCCCCTGAGAAAGGTCACACAGGAAAACACTGACAGCAGAGGAGATATCACAGTGGGCCCAGGGGCATGTGTGCCATTGGACCTGTCATTCATAAGAGCAGCAGAGGCCACACTGAGGGATGACAAGCCTGTGAGGTCGGGGTCTTGGCCGTGCACGCCTAAGCCACCAAAGCCACGCAGTGCAGCATCCTGGGGCAGCTGCTGGGGCAGGTCAGAGGAGCAGCAGTCACAGGGCCCTCATTCCGCCGGCTGCCTGGGGATGCAGTGCTTCCCTGCCCTGCAGCTGTGTCCAGAGGCCTGGCTCCCAGACGGAGGACACCCCTAACCAAAGCCCAGCAAGAGCTCCATCTAGCCTGAAGATACGAGTACCCTGGTCTCTGTGGGCATCTCATGCTGAGAGACCAGCAAGGAGGAAAGGGTTAACTGTCCTGCAGGGGCAGCTCACAAGAGCACAAAACCCTGTGAGCCACGCATCGGGCCACACCACACCCTGTCCCATCCCGCATTCCTCGGGCCTTCTCTGGTCTGCCCCCAAGTCTGCTCCCACGCCCCTGGCAGGCCAACCCTCCTCCGAGCCTATTTCCTGGAGCCTTGACCTACAATCCAGCTCCTCCAGCCAGGAAGTATGGCTGGTCCCAGTCTGCCTCAGGACAGCTCCAGGCCAGACGCTCACAGACATGGCACCATAGATAGGCCCTGTTAGAACCTGGGGTGGGGCACAGCCGGCTGCAGACCCTTCAGCACGTTGACTCAGCAGGCAGCTGGCGGGCCATGGCAGACCAGGTCTCTGCAGCCAGCTGGGCTGCTCATGACCCCGCAACCATGCACATCACCGGCTCTCTGCGCTTGGGCCTCTGCACCTGCAAGGGCAGGTCAGGAGGCCTCGTCATGGTGGGCCAGACAGCACTAGGACTGCCTATCTTGGTGCCACCTCGCCTCCATGGCCACATCTCTAGTGTCCTCAGCACCGGTGGCAAGCTGCAGGGTGCCGGTTTGTAGCTTAGCTATGGGAAAATGGGCATGAGGCCCAAGCCTGCTGCCTACCCCGAATCCCAGCTCCAAAGCTCTGTGCATGGGGGAGGCAGTGTCGGGGGTGCGGGGGGCACTAGCTTTCCATGCTGAGGATCTGGTGCAGATACCACAGAACCAGAGAATGGAGGTATGGCACTGGTGGGGCAGGAGCTGTGGAGTGGGAGCAGGCGTGGCCTCCTCTCCTGTCTCCCTGCAGGTCCCGCCCGGAGGAGCAGAGCAGTCAGCACAGTCTCCACACCCGCTAAGGCACTAAGAGCAGCGGAAATGAATGAGGGTGAGCAGGGGAGGGAGAGGAGTGGGCCAGTGAGCGAATCAGTGGGAGGCTGAGAATGGATTGAAGTCTGAGCGAGCGCATGAATAACTGTGGGAGCGATGAGTGAACACACACATGCACGAGTAACTGCGGGGCCGAGGGGACAGAGCCCCTGGCAGAGCCGTAACGGGCCCTGCTGGCAGGCCCCACGGCCCACGGCCCGACGCCCGCAGCGTGGCGCACGCACCATGACGTTCAGGCCCTGGTTGGTGGGCCCCTGTGCCACGATGTACTCGATGCCGGTCTCGTAGACGTCCATGGGCCGCCGGTACTTGACCACAGTGCCCGCGATGTTGAAGTTCTTGGGGCTGTCCACCTTGTAGTTGCCATTGAAGAAGTAATAGCCAGCTTCATCTGCAAGAGCTGAGAAGACAAAGCCACCTGGTCACATAGGCCAGGCGGGCTGGCGGGGAGACAGGACAGGGAGTGGCACCACGGGCTTGGGGAATGGGGGCCAGCGCCGGTCCACCACCCTCCTGAGCACCCGAGATGGACGATCCCACATCCGGGGCACTAGACACTCTGTCTGGGTCGCCACATGGCCCTGGCCAGGGAAGGCCCCGTCAGCCCTAAAGTAAACAACCGAGGACTTGTCCGGACATGGAAAGATAGCTGGCCAGGGACCCGTCTGGCCTGTTCTTCCCAGTGTCCTGGAGGGGTCGAGGGGCTGCAAAGTGACAAGCTAGCCCTGTGACTGAGCCACCCGGCCTGGGCCAGGAGAGTCCTGGCCTGGGGAAGGTGCACAGGACAGCAGGGTCGGCCAGGAACAGGGGGCCGGCCTGGCTCTGCTACAGACACGCGGCCTGGCCCTGAGCGGGAGCCACCACCAACTCCCCACCTGGATCGGAAGGAAGAGACCTCAGTGCCCCTCTGGCCCCACCTGATTGGCACGGCACCCTGGCCTGGTGCGGCTGCTGTCCACTGGCCCTCCGGGAACCCTGGGCACTGACCCTGGTGCTCTCAGTGGGAACCCTGCTGTTCTGCTCTTGTGTGTGGCATGGTGTTACCCAGGGAGTCTGTCCCCACGCTTGGCTGGGGCCAAGAGACAGGGTGTGGATGGACACTCGCAGAGCCTGGCTGCAGCCCGATGGTCAAAAAGAGATGTGCACACAGGCCCCGGCAGCCCCACCCCCTCCCCCCAAGGGCTGGCCCGACTGCCCAGAGGCTGTGTGATTCTGGGGGAAGCTTGTCCTCCCCTGGGCTGCGGAGAGTGAACAGGGTGCCCGGCGCCTCCAGGGCCGGGAGCGGGAGGGAGGAGGTGGACTGGCACCCAGGGACACTCTGCCTTCCAAAGGGTGTCCTTCACGCCAGTTCCAGGAATCAGCCTGCAGGAGAGGAGGCGTCAGTGTCCAAAGTTCTGATGCAACACAGCAGAGGAGCCGGGAAGTCCGTTTATTATCGGACAGGCGCAGCAAGATGTGTGCGCTGGGAATGCGCTTCCGCCGTGAGGTCAGGGAGGAACGCGAGTGAGTCTGTCTGCGTGGCGGGGAGGCTGCCGGGGCCTGGTGGTCTCAGCCCTGCTTCCAGGTATGTGACCAGGGTTCAGTCGAAGCCCTGATCCAAAGCTGTTTCCTGACAGTAATGACCTTCCTTCTTGCGGCTTCCCCAGTACTCCGAGGCCGCCCTTGGTATTTCCACACGTCTGTTTAAGAACGAGTGCTCCGCAGCCAGCCCGAGAACACGGTGTTTCCTGGCCTTGTCACTCTCCAGCCAGCGAGCGACAGAGCCCCGGCCTGGCGCAAGGCCCAGCTCCATGCTCACTTGGCCAGCAGCAGCCGGGGTGGTGGGGCCTGGGGCCGGGGCCTGCCGTGCGCACATCTGCGGGGTGGAGGTGCTTAGACCCAGGGCCTGCATGGAAGGCAAGGGGGAGGGGGCTAGGCTGCCCCCGTCCACATCGGGGTGGGGCTCACCCCACTAGTCCCAGCTCTCAGGCAGCCATCCTGGGGTGCGTTGGGCACTGGCAGCTTTAAGGCCACACCTGTGTCTGAGAAGAGCTTCCCCGTACAGCCCACGTTCCCAGCCTGCCCAGCAAAGAACAGAGAGCAGGTACCAGCACCTGCCCACCTCGGCTCGGCGGACTCGGGCCCTCCTGAGAGTATAGACAGCACACAGCCAGGTCAGGACTCCAGCCTCACAGAGACCCTCTGCTCCCCTCCCTCACAACCCTGAACTGGCTCTGCTTTGGCCTCGGCACCTTAAGCGCCCACAAAGCACCCCGACTGCTGCCTGTGCCAGGCACTGCTGTGTCAGGGAGCTCACTCCCCGCTGTCAGGAGCCCTCGCTCCCCAGCAGCTCTGAGCACACCCACAGGAGTGAAGTGGGCTTCCCCGACCAGCACATAGCCGTGCAGCCAGCTCGAGCTCTGCTCCAGGACTGGGCGGCTCAGCCTAGCTCTGCTGCAGATGCCCTGAGTGACAGGCAAGGGGCCACCTCCAGCTTCCCCACCTGGATGTTGAGGAAGAGACCTCAGTGCCCCTTCTAGGGCCACATGGAGCGACCCTACGACCCTGGCCTGGCTGGCCTGGGCTGCAGGACCTCCCAGAACCACCCTGGGCGGGCTGGTTCAGTACTCTTGATGGGAGTGGTGACAGCCTGCCCTGCTGACCACGTGCCCCACTGGGTCCAGGTCATGCCACGTGCTCAGGCCGACCCTCCAGGGAAGAAAGCAGGGCCAGGTGTCCCTTCTCCACCACACAGAACTGAAAGCTCAGACTCTACGCACCCAGCACGTCGGCTGACTTCTTCCTCTCCACAATCTGGATGTCTCGGGCACCGGCTGGGATGTGGGTGACCAGAGAGTAACCTGGAGGCAGACAGGGACAGTGAGCACCAGCAGCCTGTCGCCGTGGCCTCAGAGCCCTGCAGTGAGCGATTTTACAAGGAGCAGCAAGGCCCAGCTCAATGGGAAAGTCAACCCTGGGGGGCTCCCAAGGCTGGGAGAAGCTCTGTAAGGGCTGACCCCCCCACCCCCAGCAGGTACATGGGGCTCCAAGGCCCCGTCCAAAGGCCCCGTGCTGCCCCAGAGCTGACCCACTGCTCCGGGAGCCATCCAGCTGGGATGTGCTCAGGGCTGCCTGCTCTGGCCCCCTAGAAGGTCACCACAGTCCACAGGGACCTCAGCCAGGCTGGAGTCACCAGCTTTCAGGCCCGCTTTGCACCATGGCGGGGCCCTTGCCTGCTTCCTCACCTGTACCCAGGAACAATGCCATCTGCCCTGGAAGACAGCTCCCTGGGTGCTGAGTGGGTAGCACTGTCAATTTTTAAAGTCCCTCTTGTCATAATATTATGTGGCCCTTGGAGCCATGTGCTGCACTCACAGGTGTTGGTGGGGGACTCAGAGCCCTGAGGATAGAACACCAGCTCCTGCTACCCCAGCACCGCCATCCCCAGCCCCAGTGCCAGGCCCCAGGTGACACATCAGTGGCTCAGAGATAATCATCGGATGCCGGTCAAGGGAGGAGGAGGTCATGGAATCCTTCAAACCTGAAAATAACCTAGGGGCTAGGTGCTGAGGAGGAGGGGTGAACCAGGCAGAAGAAGCAGGCCACTGCAGTAAACCCAGAATCCAAACGCCCCTGCCGGGGAAGGGGGCCATGTTCGGGGAGGCTCCTGTCCTCATCCCAGGGGAAGTAGAGGAGTCTCTGTGTCCACCAGCCCTGGGGCACCTGCTCCTTCTGCTGACCCCACCCACACCTTACAGGTCCCTAGAGACCCTGGGCTGTCGCCCACAGCCAGCAGTGCCCCGTCAATGTTCAGAAACAGGCTTTAGTGGGGACGGGGAGAGAGGAGCTGATTCGTAGTACTGGCCAATTCCCGTGGTGTAAACACTCTCAGAGGTTCATTTCGAGCTACCAGCTTGCCAGGGCTGTGGGGAGGAGGCCGCATGGTGAGCCGACTGCAGAATTAACTGGGATTGTTTTCATGTCGGCCTTGGCCCCCCAACCTGCGAGTGCCACAGGGGCCTGGCCCTGTTGGCTAGGTCTCTCTGTGGCCCCCACACATGGCATAGGAGCTGCTCTGGGGAGACCTGTGGTCTGAATGCTGGCGCTCCACCTCCACCCCTGAGCCCAGAAGGCTTGTGAACGGAAGAGGAAAGGCGAGGTCTCGGCCGTGCCCTCCCAGAGGAGGGCCTCGAAGTAGGAGCCTCTGCCCTGCCCTCCAGGCCTGGTGAGACACTTAACACACACATTCATACCTGCAGCCTTGCTGTGCCCAGCCTGGTCCTTCCTCAGCCCAAAACCCATCCCTGGGTCCCACGTCCAAGCCCCGCCCTCCTCAGCACCTCCTGCCGGACTGCGTCCCACCAACACACACTCCACAATGATCTCTCTTGTGGGGCGTGGGGGCAAAGGCTGTGCCCTTAGCCTCCCAGACACTGCCTTTAGGGTGCTGATGGCTGCGTCCACACTGCCCTACCAGGACCGGCTCTGGTCCAGACTTGTCCAGCCCTCCCTGGGGAACCTTGACCAGGCTTAAGTTTCCTCGTCTGCTAAGTGAGTTTTAGGCCCTGCCCTCCTCGGAAAGGATGTGACAACCCAGTGTAGTTTTGCTCACACTTCCGAGACTCAGAGATGTGTTCAGCTCAATGCGGAGCCCACGGGGACAGAGCCAAGTGCACACTGCAGGCCGGAGGCACCTGACTTTTTTTTTTTTTTTTGGGGGGGGGAGAGGTTTTTGCTATAGGGCATGTGCTCACCAGAAAGACAGAGAGAGGCAGAGAGACAGAAAGTGAGAAATAACCCCCCGGGGGGATGGCCACGCCACAATCCCTTCTCCTCCATTCTCCTCTCGGGATCTTGGGCACGCACTCACCTGGCATGAGTTTAAGCCACCGGGTCTAGGACTCGAACCACAGTTGGCTACATGGGAGTCAAGTGACATAGCCATTAGGCCAACTGCTGGTCCTAACACACTTGACTTTGAAAGAGGGAGCAAAGGGCTCGGAGTCAACCCCAGCTGACGAGGAGCCTCTGGAGTCCAGGTGCGGGATTCTGCCTCTGTCTTCCTGGTGAGCACATGCGCCCTATAGCAAAAGAATTCAAGCCCCAAATCCCGCATGCCAGAGTCTGATCCCACTCTAGTCTCGTGCCTCAGTGCCCTTTACAGCGTGGTAGTAGCACCTCTCCGCAGGCGCCTCGAACGTCGGTCCGGCCACATGCCCACGGGTGTGCAGCAGGTGGTCAAGGCAGAGGCCTTCCAGAACACCGAGCCAGCACACCTGGGCCGGATGAAAGCGCTGGCAGCCGAGGGAGGAAGGACCTGGCCTGTGGCTCCCAGGGGGCTGCAGGCAGGGCCTTACCGAGGTGAGTGTGCCCCTTGCGGTAGCTGCCCGTCACGTGGGTGCAGCTGCTCCCGTCCCCCTGGCAGATGCCGCACTTGTCCAGCGTGTGGGTGGAGAAGAGCACCCCGTCACAGCCGATGGGCTGCAAGGAGGGAGGGAGAGGGCCGCTGGGAGGGCGCGGCGCCCGGCCCGGGCCGCCACATCGCGGGTGAGCGGGCAGCCGGCACGGTGAGCCCCGCGGTACTTGGTACTTTTGCTACAATGTTTAACAACCTCACATTTTCCAGACACGCAAACCCCTCGCAGGTCGGCGAGCTTGCAGGACGTGCCGTCGCGGGCGGGGACCATGAGCTGCCGCTGGCCGTCCGCGGTGGTGCAGTGCAGGTCACACGGCTTGCTGGAGATGTGCACGTAGTCATCTGAGGGGCGAGGCAGGGCTGTCAGGGTGGCCAGGGGCTGCAGGCCCGAGAGACCGCCCTTCCTCCCATTGAGGCAACCCCTACGCAATTGGGAAGCCGGGCCTTGAGAGTAGAAGGGACCTGCCCGAGGTCTCGGTGGCCGAAATAGACCAAGATGCGGTCATCTGGCCAGCCCAGGCTCCAGGAGGTCCAGCCTCCGCCTGTTTCGGGGTCAGTGAGAGGGGAGTGAGAGGGCAGCTCCTGAGACCCACCAAGGAGTTCCTGCTCTGCAAGAGGTCTGAGCCGACGGGCACCCCAGCCCCGGCCCCATTTGCCCTGTTGCCGCAGCTACTCCTCTCCTCTCCTTCCCACGACAGAGCAAGAGGGAGAGAGCACGGCTCGCCGCGCCCCAGGCCCCCGCGGCACTGTCGGCCAGTCCCCGCTGTGGCCTTGGTTGCTGTCCACCATTGACCTCAGAGGCCAGGCCTGTAGGGAACTTGGCCCATAATCTGCCCTGGGGTGATGTCATGGGTCATGGTGGGGACAGGCTCTAGGCTGGGAGTCGGGAGATGTTCCAGAACATTCCTGGTTCTGCAGCTGACCGCCATGATCTTCCCCAAGGCTCCCACTCTGGGCCTCAGCTTCCCACCTGCCCACCTGTCGGATCTGGTCCTAATGCCAGAAGGGCCGCCCCCAACTCTGCTCCCTGCGATGTGAGTGCCCAGGGCCACAGTACCGGGATACAGAGGCTTCCACTGGTGCGTCCGCCCGTTGTACACGTGGGAGTCGAAGGAGGTGCACTGCTCCTCCCGGAAGCTCCTCCCGTCCGGCGGACACTCCTGGAAGAGGGAGCACAGGGGATGCCAACAGAGGCGTCTGTGTCCTGCTGAGCAGGGAGTGGCTTCAGCCCAGCCAGCCATGCAGGGCCGAGGCCCTGGCGGTGGCCTCTTGTCCCCTTGAGCCGTCTGCCTCGCTCTCCCACTCTCAGGAGGAACGTTGGCGAGCGGGAGGACCAGCTGTCCTGCAAAGCCGCCATGCTCTGGCCCGCCAGTCTCCCAGTCATCTCCCAACACCCAGGCCTCTGCCCAACATGAAAGGAGTGGGAACCAGCAGTTAGCATAATGGCTATATTGCCAGACTCCCACATAGTCGACCACGGTTCACGTCCCAGACCCGGTGGCTTAAAACTCACACCGGGCGCATGTGCATGCGTGCCCAAGATCCCAGGAGGAGAATGGAGGAGAAGGGATTGCGGCGTGACCATTCCCCCTGGGGGGTGATTTCTCGCTTTCTGTCTCTATGTCTCTCTCTGTCTGTTTGGTGAGCGCACGCACCCTATAGCAAAAACCTCTCAATAAATAAATAAATAAATAAATAGAAAGAAGAGGGGGCCACCTAGCCACCCTGCACCAGCACCAAGGCCCTCTACCCCAGGCAGACCCTGCCCGTGTGTCTGCAGGGACAGCCACAGCGCCTAGGCAGGGCCGGACACAGGCGGATGTGACTCCACAGAGGAGCCCAGTGCAGCAAGGAGAGCCCGGTCCAAGGCCCAGCTTAGTCAGGCCAGGCAGAACGTGGGCCCATCTTGCCCCAGAGCCCACCCAGGTCCGCCCAAACCCTGCTGTGCCACCCCAGTAGGGAGACCAAGGGAGGCCATGCCGGAAGCGGTGGCCACTGTCCTCCCTTCAGTCCCTGGCCCCCTGCACACACCCACAGATACACACCGCAGGGACGCCCCAGCAGTCCGCCTTCTGGGCCCAGACCCCAGCTGGGTGTCTCAGGCCCATGCCCTGGCAGGTGCCAGACAGGCATTTGGACTCAGAGTGGCTCGGTCCCATGGAGAGCTGCCTGAGGCCGGGCAGAGAGCACCTCCTCCCTGGCTGCCCTGTCCCCAGTATGCAGAGTGCCTCATGGGAGGAGCTGGGCGTAAGGAGTAGCCAGGGCGGGAACCAGCAGTTAGTGTAATGGCTTTGGCGCTGGACTCCCCCGTAGTCGACCATGGTTTACGTCCCGGACCCAGTGGCTTAAAACGTACGCCGGGCATGTGTGCATGTATGCCCAGGATCCCGAGAGGAGAATGGAGGAGAAGGGATTGCGGAGTGACCATCCCCTCTGGGGGGGGATTTCTCACTTTCTGTCTCTCTGTCTCTCTCTGTCTGTCTGGCGAGCGCATGCGCCCTATAGCAAAAACCTCTCAAAAAAAAAAAAAAAAAAGAGTAGCCAGGGCTGTTTTACAGGGGTGACGAGGCCTGGGACCGCTCGGGCCCCAGCAAGCGCCTGGGACACAGATGTGTGGAACATGGAGCTACAGCCTGAGGCCCCAAAGCGTGAGTCTGAACCTGAAGCCCACGGGGAGAGGTGAGTCTGCCTCTCACCAAGCTCTCTGTGGCCAAGGACCCTGCTCAGGGCTCTCCTTGCAGGGGCAGGCTCAGAACAGAATGTCAGGGGACCCCTGCGACCTGCCCAAGGAGGGAGGCCGGGCCTCACCTGCACTCCGCAGAGCTGGTACCGCTTGGATGTGCCCGTGCAGGTCCTGTTCCCGGCGCCTGTGACCGACTTCCTCCTGGCAGAAAGATATGGGCTCCGAGCAGGGCTGGAGTGAGAGCTGCAGGCCCCCACCCTGCCTCCAGGGTGGCCTCTGGGCTCCAGAAGCCCTTCTGACTGTTCCCACTCTACTCCCACAGTCAGCACAGCCAGGCCGGGGTGCTACCTTGCTGGCCCCCACCCCCAGCAGGCCACAGGTGTCAGTACACAGCCAACAGCAGCGAGCAGGTGCCAGGCCCAGTGCTGAAGCACGTGCTCGCACTGTCTGTGTGTCCTCAGAGCGGGGCTCAGACGCCCTCTTGCTGCAGAGGAGAGCTTAAAGTGACTTCCCCAAGGTCACACGGCCAGGAAGTAGCAGAGCAAGATTCCAACCAGGTCTGCCTGGCGGTGGAAGCTCTTAACCGCCGTGTCTATGCCTCTGTTTACTCAGAAAAGCAGGCCAGGTGGCTTTGGCCCCTCAGTGGCGGGGCCCTAGAGATGCATTCTGCTTCCTCCTGTAAAGGCCTCTGTTCCCCGGAGCACATGGACCCCAGTGCCCAACTGTGGGGCTCCCAGGGGAGCCCAAGCCTGTGCTGTCTCAAACTGAGACCCCACACACACACACACACACGCCGAGGAGCCACCAGGCTGAAGGCACCACTCCCTGGGCCGCCTCTCCTGGGGCTGCCCCCATGCCAGCCCTCGGGGTACATTCAACCCCACACCTCTGCTGCAGGCAGTGCCGCTCCTGGGACGTCACCCCACCCCCACAGCTGCGGGAGCACGCCGTCCACTTGGTCCACTCCCCCCACCAGTAGGCAGTGGCGTCGCTGTCCCCCTCCAGGCTGTTAGACGTCGGGCTGTTGTCCTGTAAAAGTCCCACAGGTTAGAGGAAGCCAGGGACGCCCACAGGACAGGCCTCTCACACCCCAGGGCACCTCTGTCACTCACAGGCCTGGCTCAGATCCCAGGGACTCAGAATGAGGGCCTCCCTGCGCACCCCTCTCAGCATGCGGGAGCGTGGCAAGCTCCTGGGGCCTCGCCTGCTATAACGAAGCTCGTGCTCTCCTGGCCTGCCACTTCTGCAGGACACAAGGTCACTTACGCTCAGGGAGCCAGGGTTCTTCGTTACCCGCCACACAGCCCCTCTGAGGGGAGCGACCCCCACACCCAGGCAAGTGACTCACCGTGGTCCCCAAAGACGCTGCACCCCCAGCCACGACTGCCACCAACAGCAAGGACCAGGCCTGGTGTGCGTGCCACCATCTGCCGTCCATCCTAGGAAGCAAGGCCATTGTCACCCAGACCAGGCCTGGCTCCTCTTACAGCTGACCAGGGCAGGCTTTGGGAAGACGCCATCACCCATGCCCTGAGCCTGGGGCTGTTTGGGATCAGCTGGCAGTGGGTGCCTGGCAGGCCCTGTTTGGGGGGCCCTAAGGCATCCATCTAGGCCCCTCCAGGAGGGGTGCAGCACGTGGTGAGAGGTGCCTGCCACAGCGTAAGGCCCAGAGTGTTGGCACGTGTGCTAGGTTTATGCACCCCTGTCCGAGAGCTTGGGGGAACTGGGCCACACTTCGCCTCTGGATACCGCACTCTCTGGAGAACGGCTGTGGAGGAAACCAGGGGCAGGGGCTCAGGCTCGAGGGAGGTGGGCATGAGGAGGGACGGCGCCTCGCTGGGAAAAAGGGCTGAGGACCTGGCCAGTGCGGCCTTGGCTGGAGCACCTGGGTGTAGCTGCATGGTGCTGGATGGTCAGGAGAAAGGATGGCCCTCCGCAGCCACTGCAGGGGCTTTGCCAGGCCCGTCCCCACCCCCTGCCTCAATTTCCCCTCTGCCCCCGTGGGGTTGGGCCCAGGTCTCCCTTCTCAGACGAGTGCCGATGGCTCAGCTGCCAGCACCACTGACCCCCAAGGGGGCAGAGCCCAGTCTGTGCCCACTCCCTCCCAAGAAAGAGGGAGCAGGGGAGAGGAGGGACAGCTTATGGCAGCCAGGCCGTGGCCCGGGGCCACAGGGCTGACCTCACTCCTGACAAACTGTCAGCTTCAACTTCAAACACCTGCCCAGATCAAATCGAATCCAGCCGCAGGGAGCTTCCAGCCCTCTGGACTCTCAGTCCTCCCCACCTGCTTTCCCAGGGTGAGCTGTCTGGAAGGGGAAGGCAGGGACCTGTCTGGCCCCTGTGCAGGACCTGTCTTGCCCTGAGTGTCACTTGGCAGCTAGCCAGAGGAGGGGTTTCGGGGTCCATAGCCTGGAAGCCAAAGAGGGGAGCCAGCTTATCCGGAGCTACACAGCAAGGTAGCCAACCAGCACCAGGCTCCAGAGCCAACAGGAGCTCATCCCAGACACCTGAGCAACTCCAAGGCGGGCAGGTCTAGAGGCTACCCCCACCCCTGCCGGCCCCGACACCAGCTCTGACCCCACTCTGTTCTCCCTCCCCAGCAGCCTGTCAAGCTCATTTCCCTGCCTAAGCACAGCGAATGTTTAGGCTCTACACCAACGACACCCTGGTCCCTGGACAGCCTAGAGCTGGGAGGTGAGCCCTCCCGCACCACCCCAGCACAGCAGCCCACCTGCCCCGGTCTCTCCCTGCACCCCAGTTACACACCAGCAGAGTCTCCAGCAGCCCCATTGGCTAGACAGTGCCCAGTGCCCGCCCGTGGGCTGAAGACAGGTGCCTCACACTTGGTTTTCATTAAGGATCCCAGACACTGCTGGCCCCGGGCCAGGCCAGCTCACGCGGGATCCCTCCCTCCCTGGGGTCCAAAAACAGCCACCAGCCAGCTCAGAGGCTTGCGGTGCCAGTGAGGGCTGCAGGCGCCAAGGCCAGCCGGCTGCAGGGCTACCTTGCCCCACTCTGCACCCTCCTCTGGTTACATAACGGCTCCCCAAGGGTTTGGGGGATGCCCCTGCCCCTGACCCAGCCCAGGCAGCTGGCTAGCTTGGGGCAGGCTGTCACTCATGTCCCCAAGGGGGCTGCAGCATGAGCAGGGACCAGGGCGAGGTGGCCTACCTGGCCCGGGGTCAGCAGGTTGTCCTCCCAGAGAACGGGGCACGGGCAGCAAGGGTGGGCAGCCCCAGGTGCGCTGAGCGGCACTAATGCAGAGACCAGAGGCTCGGCTCTGCTCTCCGTTCCCCTCCGCCCGGCCGCCTCCCTCTTTCACTTCAAAGAGCATCCAAGAGAGGGGTTCCCGGAGGGGCACAGCCCAGTGGCGGCTGGGCTCGGCTCCGGAGCGGCCGCCTTTATAGCTGTCAGGCAGACGGGGAGGAACTCACACTTCCCGCAGCCGCTCCCCCGCCCCGCCGCTGGGCCTGGCGCACACTTTAACCCGCTCTGCGCCTCTGGAGCCCGGCCAGGCAGCCCAGCTGCCTGCTGGCGGCGGGCCGGCTGGGGCGGCCGGGGAGCAACAGGACAACTGAGAGCGAGAAGCACGACCAGCCTTCCCTAGTCGCAACTGAGACCACAGCTCCGTGCCCAGGAGGAGCCACCGCTAGCTTGAGGTCCCAGGCAGGTGGCTGTTGCCCCAGCCCCTCCCCATCGACACATGCCTCACAGTGGGGCCTGCTCGTGCCCTCCTGAGACAGGGCTCTGGGCTGCAGACGGTGCCTGTGTGAGGGCCACATCGTACAGAGACCAAGCCAGCTCGAGAGGGAGACCAGGCTCCCAGCTCACCCGCAAGCCTCGGAAAGTTCTCCTGAGAAGCAGAGGCTTAAGCAGGTAGAGGGGCTGAGCGGAGCCAGCAGGGGTGCAGCCGAGGGCTCTGGGGAGGAGACAGATGTGCCCACGGCCTGCTGGCCAGACGGCTGGAGCGGCCAGCGCCGGTGGGGAGAGGTGCAGGGCACGGCAGATGTTCAGCACTAGCTTGGCAGGGCGCAGCGGCTAGGCTGGGCCGGGGCCAGCTGGGCAGCCCCTGGCAGGCCAGGCCTGGCGCTCTGGGCCTCTGTTCCTGCCGAGACAGAGCGCAGAGTGAACAGGTCATGCAGCGCGGCTGCAGCCCGAGCCCCACTGGGAACCATAGCCAGGCCCTGGGCTTTTCAAGACTGTCCCGAGGTAAGACCGGGCACCTGTCCCCTGCACGCCGGCCTCTAGGGAGGAAAACAGAGGTGACTCCGGCGAGGAGGGACCTTTGTAAGGTCACCTGAGCAATTTTGTCCATGCCCCTGCCTCCACACCACAGACAGCAGGGCCCGGACAACTCTTCTCTGCCCTCTTGTCCTCCTGCTAAAGGAACCGTGGTGACTGGGCTCCTTCAGCTGGCCCCGTGGGTGGCTGAGAGTTTCAGCCCCAGGAAGGTCCTGCCCTGGGTCTGACCACTGACTAGAAAGGTCAGGAACAAGAGCGACCAGTGATAATAGTAAAATCGAGCACACCCGCTACCTTAGATGAGTCCTGTCCTGCGCACCAAGGGCTACAAGGTTGGCATCTTTGCTAGCCCCATTTCACGGGGGAGCTGAGGCTCAGAGACTCTGAGTGACCTGCCCTGGGTCTCACGGTCACAGGAAGCAAACCTGGGACCCTAGCACCCTTGTTTACCATAGCCACTCTGCTGGAGGCTCTTTATGGGCGGTCCTTCCCCAGAGCCCACAGGAGGCCGGCCTCACCCACTCTCCCTGGGGTGCTGCTCCCGGTGTGAAGAGCAATGCGGGACCAAGGCTAGCCCTCCCCGTAGTCCGCTGAGCCAGGGCCGCACTGCCCCTGTGGTCAACATGCTGAGGACACGTGATAAAGCATACACCGGTTACCCCAGACCCTCGCATGCAGGCACACGCATGCTCATACATGTGCACATATGTGCATGAGCGCGCACACACACACAGTCCCCCATGGACTCACCACCCGCTCCTCCTCTCTGGCCCACCACCAGGGCTGGTCCTCCTGGCACAGCCCCCAGCCCTCCTGGCATTTCTGGCGCCCACAGCCAGACAGTGCTGGGGTGACTAATGGTTTCCCTTGGGAGGGACCCCACAGCTAACCAACACCAACACCCCCGGCATCTTCTCTTGGCTGGGCACAGGCTACAGCCTGATCTCCCGCAGCGATGTGACCTCCAAGTCCCTGCTGCCTGGGGCCACTCTTCCACCCGACCTCCAGGGCCCTCAGACTCAGTGCGGCTGCTCAGACTCGACCCAGCATCGCACTCAGGGGCCTGTGCTTGGGTTTATGCTCCTGGTGGCGTCCGAAAGTTCTTGCTCATGTTCTTTGAGCTTGTGCTCTGAGGAGTCTACGGGTCACAGAGCCCAGGCCACGCCCAGCCCTCCTCCCAACCCTCCAGAGCGGTCCTCCACCACCAGCTCCCGGTGCCTCCCCTGTGACCACGGCTGCCGCCTCTGCCCTGGTGGAGGCCTAGGTGTGAGTGCAGGGAGATGGGGCCCCACCAGTCTCAGGTGGGCCTGGGCACTGGGTGGGAGAGCGTTCGCCCAGAGCGTCCCCGTGCCCAGGGGATGTGGCTCAAAACAGCCAATAAGAGGTCAAGGGAGACACCGCTGGGAAGGAGAGAAGACTTCCTGCTCTCTGAAAGGGTGCCACGCACCGAGTCCCTCAGAGGTCCCTTGGCCGGCCCTGGGGGCCATCGCATCCCTGGCCCCATCCCTCCCCACTCAGGCTGCCTAGGGCCTGGAGTCCTGCAGAGTCCTGGAAAGATCCCCTTCCAAAGTCCAGCTGTCCCTGCCGCCCCTCTCAGAAGCTGCCCTTGGGGCCATCTCGACAGCACGCCCCCCCCCCAGCGCCGCACGTCGGGGCTCCTCAGGTCGTCTCTTCTGGGAAGCCCCTCGGAGCCCTGCACTTTGTGTGGCTTCTCAAGTTTTCCACCTGCAGCTGGAACCTATGTCTGGCACAGCAGGTGCCCCCAGGTGAAGGGCCGCCTGGCAACTCCCAATGCCAGGACTCTTAGTCCTCCCTTGAGGATATGCTGCGGTCCTGGAGCCAGAGGTGCCTGCCTTTAGGAGATTCCTACACACGCCAGGTGGCCCTTCACCTGAGGGTCCCAGCTCCTGAATTGGAGCAGGAAACAGAAAGCAGAGGCGAGGGGTGAGGGGGTGGTGAGGCAGGCCAGAGCCGCAGGGGACTAGGACGTGGGAGAAGCTTTGCAGGTTCACTACGCAGCTGGGGCCGAACCACCATCGTGCAGGAGCTCGGCCTGTCCTGCACCTCAGGCCCCGAGTCCTCCAACAGGCCCGGCCTCCTGGTCTATTGCCCGAGGTCAGTTGTGCGGGTCCACACCAGACCCGGGTGTGGCCACCTCCCTCCCCACTCCAGCAGCCCAAGACCCTATCTTGGACAGCAGGACTCTCAGAGGTGTCACCTGAAAGCCAGTGATGGACAAATCTCTGCTCCCAGCAGCCCCTCAGTGGCTTAGCCCCCTTCCCTAACCCTTGACAATCACAAGACTGTGACCTCCTGAGAGAGCCCTGGAGCAGGGACATCACTGGGCAGTGGTCACCCATCCAGGGGGCGCTTCCTCCTACACGGCCCTGCCACCCACAGCTGGGCACCCACAGGGCCCACAGAGGCTCACAGGAAACAGCTGTGTCCTAGGTGGCTGTGAAGACAGCCCTGCTTGGGACCAGCAGTTAGCGTAATGGCTATGTTGCTGGACTCCCATGTAGTTGACCACAGTTCGAGTTCCAGACCCAGTGGCTTAAAACTCATGCTGGGCGCATGTGCGTGCATGCCCAAGATCCTGAGAGGAGAATGGAGGAGAAGGGATTACGGTGTGGCCATCCCCCTGGGGGGTGATTTCTCACTTTCTATCTCTCTGTCTCTTTGTCTGTCTGGCGAGTGCACGCTCCCTATAGCAAAAACCTCTCCAAAAAAAAAAAAAAGACAACCCTGCTTCATCTGCTCTGCAGCCAGGCTCCATGGGTTCAAGCCCAGCTCCTCTCTTCCTCACGATGACTTTGGGCAAGAACTGAAACCTCTCTGTGCTCCTGGCCCGGCCTATGAAGGGGGCAGCGAGATGCCTCCGCCCCGGGCTGCAGGGCAGCATCACTGAGTGCTTACAGCACGGGGCCCAGAACGGTGCTGGCACAGCGTGGGGCAGTACGAGGCTGTGCCCACAGCTGACCAGGGGACGCTGGGCCAAGAGTTCCAACACACTGTTTACTCAACCCCAACGATCCACACCAGGTAGCGTTGTCATGTCCAAACAGGACTAGGCAGAGGCCAAGGTTGGGGCCGAGCCTGTCCGAGGCCAGAGCAAGTCCCTCAGGCCCCTCAACACCAAGCCGGGACAGGTACACCTGGGTTCCCAGCCCAGCGAGAGTAGCAGGGTATGACCGAGCACAGCTGGGGGTGTGTGGCACCAGCCCGGCGAGAGTAGCGGGGTGCGTGACCGAGCACAGTCGGGTATGTCATACCAGCCCTGGGACCCCCGGGATCGGGGGGACCTCAAGTAAGGAGTGCCCAGCTCACACAGGGCACATGTGTGGGTGGAGACAAGAGGCTGGGCCAGAGAGGACACAGGCCTCCAGGGGGCGGCAGCCTCTGGCCACCCTGGCCACTCCCCCCGCCCCCGGCCCG